CTGGCAGCCCAGGGGAACCTCAGCTGGCCCAGAGACGCCCAGGGCACAGTAGTCCCAGGAGAGGCTGGGCAGCGCAGGGGCATGGAGAAGCCCAGCCTGGCTGGGGAAGCTCCCTCCCACACGGGGCCAGACCTGGGCTTGGGTCAGCATCTCCACCACCACTGCCAGCGCTTCAGAGAATCGTCTTCCATGGAAAAACTCCTCTGTTGCTGACATCCATCTGAATGCACCTCGCAAGGCATTAAAAAGTTTCTCTGACAGGCAGGGACTGCTGCGCAAAAGAGCTAAAAGGTGAAGGGGAACTCCCTTGGGTTGGACGCCATGTCCTGGTTTCTTTGCAGGGTCACAGCTCATTGCTCAACATTGCAAGACCACTTTCTGTATGTAAAGAAACAAAGCAAGCTTTGGGTACCGCATGCCAGCAGTTCTCCAATACATGACTTGACCCAATCGCCCTCACATCCTTCCTGCCACCCAGGCTGGCCCTTCTAGTTGTTCTTCAGGCTTCCAGCTTTTTTTTGAGTAAAATATAGAGCACTTTGTTGCACAAGTGCAATATTGCATATTACGCATATGCAACTCGTCCCCAAGGGAGTAAGGGCACCTTGATATGAGCAAAGCATTGCCCTTTTTTGCCAGAAGCTCTTCTCCCATTTCGGGGTGTCACTCGCACCCCTCCTTGGACGCCAACGCTCACCATGTCGTTCCTCCACGGGTGACACATTCCAGAGCACAATCAAACCTATTGTGCAGCTCTAAAACAGTTTTTGCTTTAATCTGCCAGGGGGAACAGCACAAGGATTTTATATCTAATCCAATAAATCTACACTGACATCTTGTGGAGATCATGAGACCAGAAACCCACAGCCTCTCGGCAGGGTGGGATTTACACCCTTGCTGCGTCCTGCTGGACACCATCGCAGCAGCAGCCAGACTTCCCAAGGCACCCGCAGGTGTGTCCATGGTAAAAACCAGGCCCTGCAATCTCAGAAGTCATCGTTCTCGGTCCACGAACATCGTTTTGCTAAGTGATCCTCACAAACCCAACTAAAACAAGACTATTTACTTTTAAATCCTCACTGAAAACAATACCATGGCCCCTCTTGCATAAATGCCGTGATGCTTCAGGCTTCTCATCAAAGCACAAGCTTCCAATGAGGAGCTATTTTCATGCTGGAATTTTATTATCTCTGTAAGTACTGGAAGAAAATGGACCTGAGTAGCACTCCAGGACTCCTTTAATGTTCCTCTTCATCTAAAAATACATGGTTTAAGCAAAAACTGCCTGCAGTTTGGGAACATGTGCAAGATTTTCCTCCCTATTCACCCCATTCATTTTAGCTCCTCTGCCAGGTCAGAAGGGTTAAATTAAGCCAGTGCCATCTTTCTTCCAGTGCTCGGGTAAGTGTTCAAGGAGTACAACCCCCTGTTAGGCACAGGCCACATCAGTGCCGCGGCATAATTGCTTGGTAGGGGTTAACGCCAAGAGCTGAAATCCCAGCACAGACAATCTTGCAACCAAACCATAGAATCATTCCTCCAGCTTCTTCCTAATACCACGCTGGGGAGCAAACGCTCACGCTTGCTCCATAGTGGGGGAAAAAGTGGTTCATCGAGTCTGATTTCCAGCAAACCATTCATATCAAATAGGTTTGAGAAGACCAAGGGTGCCATCAGATGTCAAAGGCAAGGTTTGGTCTGGCGTAACACCCAAGGGGCTGGCATTTACACCTCACTGAGATCCCCTGCATTAATACAATAAGTTATCCAGCCTTTCATTGGGTTTTCACCCTACTCACTCCTGTCCTTCCCTTCGGGCAAGGGACCATCCCCAAGAAGTTTGTTTTTTTCCAGCCCAGTTTTGGACCTGCCCAGTTAGGGGTGGGGAGACACGGAGCTGGGTTCAAACTGGGTTGTGAGCAAGTGCTTTGGATTTAACTTAACTTAACGTCGATAATCAGTTTGACCCTTGGCGGGGCAGGGCAAGATCGGCCCTTGGGAAGCAGAAATAAAGAAGTTACAGGGACAGAGACAGGCAAGTAATAAATGTTATTGAACACTTTTACAAACCATATGGGCTCCTTTCATTCCCTCGCTTCCATCGCTCTGCCAACACTGAGCCACAGCTCTCTGCCAGGTCTTCTATCTGTGCCAGTGCCTCCGTCTCCTCCGAGACAGCCAGAGGCCCTCTGGAACCACTGCGGTAGCACCAGATGGGTGGAAAATGGAGACTACCCAGGTGTGATGGAAAGGAGGGGAAAAGGAGCTTGGACTTCTTCATGGTGTAGCAGCCAACCTGGGGAAGCCATGACCATCACTCACAGTGCTATCAACAGCTACCACCGTCGCCAACGTTCCCTGCAATTATGGCTCTGGGTCAGTCTGCTCCATCTTCTCGCTCTTCTCAGGGCAGCATCAACTGCCCCAGCCCCACCAAAGCCAGACAACCTTCCAATGCAGGTGTCGTGGAGGTATAGCATTAGCAGTGCATTAATGAGACCTCCGCTTCATGCATAAAGAAGGAAATGTAAGACCGCAGAACATAATAAACACTATTTTGCCTTGGACAGATCCTAATGCTGAGTCCATTAAGTTACACGTAATACCACCTAACCAGTTACGAGAGTGGGAAAACCAACCATTGTAAGAAAAACCTGAATGACTCCAGCGTTGGAATTGCTACCTGCAGCACTGGCTCCACTCTGAACAACGGCACGCAGCTTTTATCCTTTGGGCTGCAAAAGAAAAGGGGTGATTTTTATGCTTTTAAGTGACTAATCTATAAGCAATGCTTTGAATTCCTGCAAGCCTACTCCCTTGGGACTACCAAGAAGTGTACACCCCAAAAAACCCACACACACAAAAGCCCTGTCACTTGGGCTTTGAGCAATCCCAGTAAGCACCTATACGTATGTGCAACTAGGTCTGATTATTCAAATCCTGTTGCCTAGTATTAACTCTCAAATCTATATTTAAGCATCTAAGTAGGAATTACTACAGCTTTCCAAAGATCCTAAGCACCAAGAGCTCTTGTTAAGGGCTTGTCGAAATACTGATCTCCTGTTTAAATTGTAACATTCACCTTGCTCCCAGTGCTGTGAAATTCAGGACTTTCATACACAGCTAATGCTCCCGAACCTCTTCCAGTAAGAGCCGAGCTTGTGAGCGTCCTTTCTTTCGTATCAAAACACAGGTTAAATGCAAATACACAGAGAAGCTATTTCTAAAAGCCCGCAGTGAATTCGAAGTCACTGTACCTTGTTCTAGAAAAGGCTTGGAATACAGCAGAACACAGGCTGTGCATCATAGTTTGGTAGAAATTTGGGAAGAATGGTATTTTTGAAAACGTATCTAGGCATCGAACCAAAAATTAAAACTATCCTAGTACTAGATTGAGGTACTTTGATATAATTCTCACTCTCTCCATTCCAAAGCCAGGAAGCCTCTGAAAATTTCTGCAGAATTTGAACCCTGCTGTTCTTGCTACTAGAAAGTCAAAAAGGTGCTTTTCCCTTCCACAGCCCGAGTCTTGCCCTTTGCCAGACAGGCAAACTCACATCCTGCAGATGAGCAAAACACAGCCACAATATTCCAACTCATAGAAAAAGGCCAACTCTTTATTTTTCATTTGCTTTCTTGTAATTCTGATTTAAAAATCAGTTTGCATATGAAGCCAGTGTTTTACCTTCATTCCATAACTTCCTCCTTCCTGCTCAAGTTATGAGGAAATGTGAGAAAAAGATAGGAGCATATTTATAGGGCCAATAGCTGATGAAGTGGTTGGAGTGAATGCGAGAGAACAAGGAAGAAAACAATATGAGGCTGGAAACCCTCTGGAAAGTTACGCAGCGAGACGTAATCCAGGATTTTGAATGACCGAGTGAGTAATTCCGGATGAAAATTTAACAAAGGATAACTGAAGTAAAATATATTGCAACTGCTTAATAGATACGAGGGACCATACACATTTAATTTGAAGAAAGGATCATCTAGAAAATACGAAGTTACTTCACCAACACCAGAGGACGAGACAGAAAACAGCAGTGGCATCATGCGACAGTGATCTGTAGGCGACAAGTCTCCTTGCCAGCAATGTCAAGTCCTCTTTCTAGCCCTGCAGATGCAGGAGATAAGGCCTCAGCTCCAAACATCATAGTAATCATAAAACTGCTTGCTCTAATGAAACGGAACTTTATGGATTACTTGACAACATTTTTAAACAACAGATACTGATGGGAAGTTGGTCAAAAGCTTCAAAATGGATGTATGGGTGGTAGGAGAGACTTCTCCTATTATTCTGTATAACTCACCAGTATTATGCTGTGCACACATCTCAGGAATACAATAGCCTTTCACTGAGCAGATGAACTAACAAACATTCAACACAAATGACTTCGTCACTACCAAAAATTTTAAAAAGAACCAATAAAGATAATTAGTGAAAGGAGGATAGAAAAGACTAGTACCATCCAAATACCAGTGTATTTAATGAATTAGCAAAAAGAACTGTTACTATCTCAGTAACAGCTTTTCAAAATTAGAGCTGTATCAGAAGTTTTTAAAAATGAAAGCACTGCAAGTTTTCGAAAATGGGAAAGATGATCAAACCCGTCAAGACACGTACCAAGTGTGAAGGGTGTAGGAAGTGGAATTAGACCTAATGTTTTTCATGGTCAAAAGATTAGTTTCAAATTTAAAAGACAACAATTTTGATAAACTAAATTTTAAATGCACATTCTACAAAAGCCGTACTTTTCAGTTCCTTCTTTTGTTGTCAAAAAATATCTACATATACATGGACATACACACATGGAAGTATGACCTTTCAGTTTATTATTCAAAACACAACTTTCAGGTCACATGATTACTTTGCACTGACAGTATTTCCATCATAAGAAATCATCAGTTTTGACATAATGATTCTTCATTTCAAGGTTAAGCACTTTCCCAAGTCTCAAATCTCTTGAAGAAATTCCTTCTTTTCCTCAAAATACTTCTGAAACCACTCAATATGTTCAATCTTCTGTTTAACACTGAGGTACGGGTTTTTTGAAAGCCCACAGATGACTAGTTCCATGAAGTGGCGAATAGGTCCTTGCTTGGGAAAGTCTTCGAGGTGTTTCTCCAGAAAGATATGTTCATGAAATTCAGCATCATCTTCCATCCCTAACAGAAGGGACAAAAAAATGACAAAGTTATTATTGTAATATAACAGCAAATTTAACAAAGTAAAAAAGGATATAGTTTGCAAATAATCTTAAATTAGTAAAATTAATGGTTCTGTGCCTTTTAATTCTTTTGCACAGTGAAGTCAACCACACAGAAGTGGAAGAAACCGCACAATTTTAAGACATTAATTTCTCCCTCCGCACAAAAAATTTCAGCATATATCATATTCCTGTCTACCATATTAATTCCATTTTATGCTCTCATTTATAAGAATATCTAATATTTAAATCAACTTTCTGGATGGTAATCTCGTTGAAAGCTGATGCTGAGGCAGGAGCGGGGGACTAATTAAAAAAATAAATCAATCTTCTTGCTAAAAACCTGTTTGTACAATATGTGAAAATTTTGATTCATCATGGGTACCACCTTTTAGACTGGGGACACTTTCTTAATAAATTCTTTAAGAAAACACTGATTGCCTAAATTCTGCAGAGGATTACAGAATACAAGCTAGTCTTGAACAAATGAGGCAATCTCATAAAGTATCTAACACTGAACAGCTAACTCACACTTGCATGTTCATTCCAAATTATGGTTTTAACATCCTATTGCTATCAAATGGGCACAGAAAATTTGTTTTTCTAAGACTTTCTGAATCTGTGAGTGTATGCCAATGTAAAAATGTTGTGTATCTCACCAGCTGCTACTTTTAAGTCGTAACCAGCGCAGAAGATGATGCATTCAAAAGCATCCACAGGAACATGGGACAAGGGATTATTGTAGATCTCTAATCAAGCACAGCTCAGATCCTACGGTAAATTTTTGTTCTCTGTCCTGTGGATTTTCTTTGCTGTTGTTCATACTATGATGCTAGCATACACAAGACAAAGGCTCAGAACACAAATTCCTACATACAGAAAAAAGGCTGCTTTCGCAGTTCCCAATTCCAAGATAAAAAAACCAAGGCAAATTGGGATTTGCAATTGAAAGATTTTTCTTCAGTTACATGAAAATTTTTAGTTGATCCCAATTTGCTATAGATTCGGAAATGAAATTTGCACCTTTAAGTAAAAAGTTATTAGAGAAAATATTGCATGTGAACATTTCCAGATGACAAAAATGGGAAGTCTACACCATAAACACAAGTGTACATGTTTTTCTATACTAGCTAGGATATGATATATTATTTGACAACATTAAATCAGGAGTATTAAAATTGAGGTAATTAAGTCATGTCAGTCCTATGCCTTCTCCTGTGTTATGTCAGTCCTCAAAAAAGTAAAGTGCGCATCACAAAAAGAGACCACAATTGCCCAAAGCATCAGAGGCCGAGACCTCTGGTGGGAACTGATTAGATGAGATGTGCTCGCATGACTCCCCCCACCCCCAGCAAGCCATATCTCCTGCTGCATGGGAAGAACAAGCCTGTCCCTCAGCCTCTCTTGCACTGTCCTCAGAAATCTAATTAGAAAGAACATGCGTGGTGGGAGTCTAAAGTAGAGGATTTTCTTTATCAACCTCAAAGCAAGAAGTCACCCACTCTCAATATCCTATTTCCAATCCCCTATGTACTATAAAACAGAAAGTCTGGGGAATTTCTCTAGCTAAAACACTAACCTTTCCAAGACATGACCAACCCTGCCTTAAAGATGACATCTCAAATGCAGATGTCCATCCTTATAGGGAGTGTTGCTGACATGCTATAAAGATGACCAAGTATCCTGATCTAGTGAAAGATGTCCCTACCCATTGCAGGGGGTTTGGACTAGACGATCTTTAAAGGTCCCTTCCAACACAAACCATTCTATGATTCTAGCATTTTTAGAATGAGATAAATCATGCTCTTACAGTAGGTCCCTAGAATAGGCCGAGAATTAGTAAAAGCAAATGCCTCCTAAAACGGTTGTGTAATGTTTGCCACCTCTCTTGGCAAACTGATCCAATGCTTCTCTGCTGGGAATAGCATCTCAGCAAAACAGCCAGAACAGGGCTTGATGAACTTTTGCCTACAGAAGCCATCAGGGGCAACTGAGGCATTAATTTTCTGAGACTTCCATTAAGCCTATCACTTCTGCCGTAACAATCTCTGGCCCACCAGAAGCATTTGCTCCTCAGAAGGAGGTGCTAAAGCAAAGTAGCACCAATAATCTGTACTGTCCTTTTTAATGACTGCACTCCTCAGGATTTGAGTCATCAAGGCATAAATGCACAGAAATAATTTTAAAAAGGGGCAGAAATCAACGTTTTTCCCAACTTTTTCCCATCGCAAGTCATGGAGCAGAACTAAAGCTACTAGAAGCAGAAGAGGCAAGCAGAAAGGAGGAGGAGTGAGAACAATGTTACGCAAGCTATCCTAATGGTTTGCTAATCTGGTAAAAATTAATCAGAGGTTGGAGAGATGGAGAGAAAAAAAAAAAAGGTAGTTTTCTGCCTAACAGTGACTTCAACTGCATCAGATAAGGGAAAGGACAGGCAGGCAGGAGCAGACAACAGGGCAGTCAAGGTGGTGGGGGAAGACTACTACTGGCCGCTGCAGCAAGCCAGTACGTCTAGCCACATCTTCAGATGTTCGCACCAAGGCCAGAGAAGTTTTAAAAATCATGACCTTGCCCTGATGCCTCAAAGCACAGCACAGTGCCTTGGTAAAGCACTCTAACGAGAACACCAGAGATGCTGTGGAGCCAAGAACAACAGTTATAAGCGGTCTTCTTTCTTTTTTATATTTACTTTAAAACCTTAAAGGCTTTCATAATGCTAAAAGTTGAGTATACGTGCTTCCTCAATAGAAAATTTAATTACGCTTATGTTTTTAAAGTCACATGCTTTTGGCATAAAAGAAAAATCACACATTTCTTGATACAGAACAAGCTGAGGTAATGTCCTCCTAATGAGCGAGATGACTGTTACTAAACTGCAAAATTAACAGCACAAAGGGGCATCTTTCCTTTGCAAAGCCACTGAAATTACAGTATGTTGATATAATTGGAGCGAGGTTCTCAAGATTTTAACTGTGCTTTGACATACCTGATCTGATTAACAGCCTGTGGCTGGCAGTTTGATAGGATGAAATTTACTGACTTGATATTTCAACCTGAGAGGTGATAGACTTTGGAATGTTCCACTGGAATTTTCCACATGACTAGTCTTTGTGGACAAATCAATAAAGATTCTTGTTTAAGTATATGTAAAGACTCTTTGTCCGTTCGCCACCCCATCCCAGACAGCACGGTTCCGGCCACATTGCTGCAACAGAAAAACCATTGGCCGCCAAAGACGCCTGGTCCACTTACGGCCCCAGACAGCAGGGTTCCAGCCACATTACAACAACAGAAAAACCATTGGCCGCAGTGGTTTTAAGCTTGCAAAAACATGACTAGAGTATACTCAGATTTCTACATGATGGAACAGATCAATTCTGGGAGCAGTGATTAAATTCTGTGAAGAAATTGCCAAAATAGGATGAGAATAAACATTAAGAAACAATGAACCACATTATGCAATTTGCAACCCAGTACAGGACAGATTTTCAAAGACTCACAGCTTCAGATACTAACCTGGTTTGCTTTCAGTGACTGAATCATTCTAAAGTAGTTCTGTTTGATGTCTTTAAAGTCTTTAAAAAAAACACAGCCAAGCTCTCCCTGCAGTTATGAAGTCCCCTTTCCTCAAGTGTACGCTTACTTTGTGTAGTTGTTCTTCCCTTCCTTAACATTCGCTCGCTCTCTGCTGGCTTAACTTCACAGAGAGCTTTTTTTTTTGGTTTGTTTTAAAATGGTAATAAAAGTAAATACCATGAACAAAGATGTCTAGTTAAGATAGATGCCCAGAGTCAGTGAATATTGTGACTGTTTATTCTTATGAATCAGATAGAACAAAGGGAGCAAACAACTGTTTAACACTCGGCCGGCGCAGATATGGAACTGGCAGATAACTGATTAGGATCCGGCTAGCCACTTGGTCCGAGAGCCACACCAAAGAATAGAATCAGCATTATAAAACACACACAGCAGTTTTAAGATTCCCCATCCTCTGCTAGAAGCTTCTTTAAGAAGTTGCACAGTAAAAGGTATTATGTAATACGCTTGAACTGCCTTTTGGTTTTGAAAGCATCAGGGCTGAGTGAGAAAGGGAGGGGGAGGGAGGGAGCGAGGGAGGAGCTCTCCCCTTTTTGGCAGCAGCCAGTCCTCAGATCAGCCAAACCACCTGCAGGACTTCACCTGAAGAGTGCCAGAACGAGTTCATCTGAAGCATCTCTGATTTGGGACAGTTGGAAAGCTTTATTTGTTTACTATCAAATGCATGACTCATAGCTGAAATACTATGTTAAAACAGTCAAAGGTCATAACATGCTCTAATTCTTAAAAAAGATAAATATAGACAGATAGTAAAAGTTAACAGTGCACATACCAGCTTCATTGTCAATTGGGAACTCCCACAGTATTCCTTCTTTTGTCCACTGGATCATCTCCTCAAAACCGTTTCGGGGAGGCTGTGCAGTTATTGCTGCAATCTCCTTTGCAAATTCCAGATCCCAAATTGTTGGTGAAGATACTAAAAAAGAAATTTTGTAAAGATCTGTCAGCATGCCAAAGACTTGTCACTAGTTAAAACAAAGTCCTTTAACATTTACAGAGTTAAAACAAAGTCCTTTACAGAGACTAGTACTTTCAGCTCTGCATATTTTTTCTACATTAGATGCCAGCATCACCTTTCTCAAATAAGAATTCTCTGTTGAAATGCAAGTCCATTAAATTCTCAAATGCCTAGTGAAAACGTATTCTGAACTCCGAGGGGACAATTTATTTTTGAGCCTTTCACACAGAGCAGGAAGTTAATTTTTCCACAATCTTTTTCTCCTTTTTGTCTTTCACAAATTGTACATACGACAAACTCTGAACTTGACTGGTGCACTCTGCTAAAGGAATCTTGCTTATTACAGGAGTTTTCAGGTACTTCACAACTATACTCTCCTTCAGGGAGACAGCTCAATCTACAAATGATGGCAATTCCTTTCCCCACACTCGTAAGTTTTTGTTTCTTGAGCTTGAGAAATCCTGATTTCCTATTCTTCTCCCACAGTCAAACAGGCCCTTTAGGGATGCATCTTTCCCGATGCATATAATTTTTTTTTTTTTTTTTTTTTTTAAATCAAAGTGTACTCATATGGCAGCAGAGTTACTCTTAAGGAGCTCCTGCCCCTCCACCCAGGAGAACTGGTCATGAGCCCAGACTGAACCGCATCGCTGAAGTGAAGGGAACAAGCTGTTACCACAGGACAGGGAGGAACCACTGGGAGTGCCTCGGGCTGCTGTCTCATGAGCTGGCCTAAGTCACACTCCCCTTTGTTTTCTTGTCTCCCCCTGTTATCAATTCACCCTAAGCTCCTTGGAACAGAGAACTTGATGTGAATTCAAACGTTACAGTCCATTTGAAGTGGATCATGGCCAACCAGCTATTATTTTACTACTCGTAAGTGTAAGTATTTGAAACTAAGATACAATTTCATCTTTGGCTCAGTGGCTTACAACTCAACTGCATTTAAAAAAAAAATCCCCCCCCTTCTTTAAGGAAAAACAAAATGAAAGGGCAAACAGTATTTTTACATACCAAAAAGTGTTTTCATTTTTTGTGTTAAGTCAGAAGATACTTCTTCAAATTATTTCTTGCTTAGCAGGGAAATTTCCAGAACTATACTCCCTAGCTGCCTACTTTGATTTGAGGGATGGAGGCAGGAATAAAATACAGATAAAAGACAACATGAGAAACCATACCAGAATTAAATTATTGTCCACATCTTAAAGGATACATTCTAAGAATGTGCTACTAATAAATCTTCTTACAGAAAAGAGCAGAAACTCATTTTTTCAAGCTTACAGTAAAGGTGATAAACATTATATTTTCACCTCTGTGAAACAGAAAATAATACTGATATTTTATGTTAACAGTTATGAATAATTTTTTCAGAATGTCAATTTACTTCCCAGTTAACATTCAGGTTTTCAAAATAAATATTCAATACATAACACAGAACTTGCTTTTCTGTCATGTATAAAACAATATTTTAACTCATTATCTCCACTAATATGAGCCAAGAAAGTGAAAGCAAATGAATCAAGGTATCAAGTATCACACTGGTATTTCCCAAGATTAACGGAAAAAATTTTTTTGTCATCAGGCTTAGTCAGTAAGCCAAGTAATAAGCTTCCTGGCTTAGAATATATTGTAGATTTCCTCAAAGCTACCTGGAATCAAACAAGGAAACACCACATATAAACCTGAAAGAAGCTTACTTCTTAATATCTAATTACAAATCCAATAAAGTCCACTTGCTGTCTTACACAATTTGTGCACATTCCAGCTTTGTGTTTAAAAAAAAAGTATATCTCAACTTTTTATCTAGGGTGACTACTATGTGCCGCATTGTACTCATGCAAAAAAGAAAGGTTAAATTCTCACTATTTTACCTGAGTAAATTTGATTCAACTCCAATGCCAGTTACTTGAACATCACATTTGTCAAAATAGCTAAAAAAATGCTTCATCGTTCATTATGTTTTTATATGTAAAACTGACCAATCTTGAGAAAATTGGCAGTCTTAAAAAAAGGTGAATTGAATTCCATTCTAATAAGCAACTTTCATAGTCCACCACAAAGGTGGCTGCATTCAGAAAGCTCACAGCTACTTGAAAACATGCAAATAGCACTATCTGATATTTTACTAAGATATTATGTAAATAAATTAATTTCTCCCTGCAGTTTCAAGTGTAAAAAAAAGGAGAAAACTACTCAGCTAGAATCTGACAAAAACTAACAGTCCTACTCTTGAAACAGAAACAAATAAGAATAATTTTCTAAGATATCAGAGAGGAATACTATTTCTTCTGCAGCTGCTGGCTTTACATATAGTTCTAAGTCACTACACTGGAATAAAGACTTTTCTTCCAAAGGGCCTCAGAATAGCTTAGGGAAATCAGCGTACTAAACATCACTGCTACCAACGCGCAGTTTCATTGTTCAGAAAGAAAAGTGAGGGAGGGAGTTCTTTACATGACTTGCCCATATTCACACACTCTTAGCTAAAACGCAGCCTGTCGTAAAGCTAAGTCTTCATGCGTGAAAGCTATTCCCCTTATATGGCATTAAGACGTTCCTGCAGAACTGTGCCATTCAGTGAATATGAAGGTGGGTCATAGCTGTTTTGCCGTTGTTTTTTGTTTTTATCTTACTTGAATTTTGGTATGTGTATTTGGTGGATAAGGGAATGGTCACATCCAGAAAGTAGTGGTCAACGGCTCAATGTCTGGATGGAGATCAGTGACAAGCAGTGTCCCTCAGGGGTCTGTATTGGGACCAGTACTGTTTAATATCTTCGTCAATGACATAGACAGTAGGATCGAGTGCACCCTCAGCAAATTTGCAGATGACACCAAGCTGAGTGGTTGAGACGCCTGAATGGGATGCCATCCAGAGGGACCTAGACAAGCTCAAGAAGTTGGCCTGTGTGAACCTCATGAGGTGATTCTGCCCCTCTACTCTGCTCTGGTGAGACCCCACCTGCAGTACTGCATCCAGCTCTGGAGCCCTCACAGACATGGACCTGCTGGAGTGGGTCCAGAGGAGGGCCAGAAAAATGATCAGGGGGATGGAACACCTCTCCTGTGAGGAAAGGCTGAGAGACTTGGGGTTATTCAGCCTGGAGAAGAGAAGCCTTCGGGGAGACCTTATTGTGGCCTTTCACTTAAAGGGGGCTTACAGGAAAGATGGCGGCAACTTTTTAGTAGGGCCTTGTTGCAATAGGACAAGGGGTAATGGTCTTAAACTAAAAGAGGGTAGATTTAGACTAGATATAAGGAAGAAATGTTTTACAACGAGGGTGGTGAAACACTGGCACAGGTTGCCCAGAGAGGTGGTAGATGCCCCATCCCTGGAAACATTCAAGGTGAGGTTGGACGGGGCTCTGATCTAGTTGAAGATGTCCCTGCTCACTGCAGGAGGGTTGGACTAGCTGACCTTTAAAGGTCCCTTCCAACCCAAACCATTCTATGATTCTAAACATACATAAAGAGCTTCACAGTACGTAAAGCAAGGTGTTGTTTGTCAGCCACTTACAGGATCTTTCAAGCTACATATACAACACTAAAAAACAGAAGTAATAGAATTGGGGTTTTTTCTACCCTGCTTATGCCTAGCCACCTGTAAAGCACGCTTGTTTCCCTGGGATCAGAGCCTTGTGTTTCTTTGCCATAAAATGAATGCAGGAAGTTTGCAACTTGACCAAATAAGCTACTGGAGCCAACACACCCATTCTCCAGGCTGGTTTTACACTCACAGAGCAAAAGAAGAAAGACTGGACTTAGTGACAAAAAGCCAGTTTTATCCTTCAAGTTCAGTAACAGAATGTCGTGATTAGTACAGAAAACATTAATCTATTACACTGCATGGAAGTTTTGCTTACTGAAAATCAGAGTTTCATTAAAGTATTCATTTTTTTATAGGTCTGAAAGCAGGAAGTTAACGGATCATAAGTCTCCTTCACAACAGTGAATCTCTTGATATACTAAAAATTCAGAACTTGGCTTCACTGGGTTTTTCATTATTGAATTTCCACTAACCTGTTTTCAGTGCATTTTCTGTTTCTGTAGAAGCCTTGGTGAATATATTAAGCCTCCTTCCTACTTTGAGACTTCTATAAACAAGAAAGAAAAACGCTATTTAGTATTTCACAACACTGCACAACATTGCCAGATAACAAATTTAAAAGCACAAAATATTCTCATGAACTAACAGACCTCTGGAGAAAAAAAAAATGAGATAGTGACTCTCACTAAATCCTCAGGCTTTTAACCAGAGAAAGTGTTTATGACTTTATTATTCGCCTGTAACAGAGGTTCCCAAAACATTTCTATGTGAAAGAATGAGCATAAATCAAACATTATCTTTGCAGTCATTTTTTACTGAAATATTTAGGAATCTGAACAAAGCTAAATAGTATCAAACCACAGTACTCAAGCAATTTTACAAAGTTGCAACTAAGAAGTGAATCTGGTGATTTGGGTTTTTTCCCTGTAAAAAATATTGCACAATCCAGGAAGAGAAAAGGCAACAGCTAAATCAAACAATTCCTGCTTTATGACATAAATAGCCTTTTTGGAAGATTACACAGCCACCTTCTCTGCCATATGGCAAACACTCAAAGTATATCTGTATGATATATTTTAAATAGCATCACCCTGATGCTCTCTCTTCTGAATATAAAAATATTTCACTCTGACCATCTATTTTTAATCGTATTTATCTTTAGCATAAGCCTATACTAAAAACTAAAAATTTTTAAAAATCCAAGAGTTCAATAAGTAATCAAAATAAATTTTCTTATAAATGGAAACAAAGAAAAACTAACATCTTTACTGTACAACACACTTAACTTTAGAACAAATGACACTCTTAATCATACAATCTTCCAGGCTTCCACTGAAATTCTAATAGTTCCTATGTTATGTTATTACACATTCACTGTTACCCTGCCCTTCCGGACCTTAAAATTTCACCTCTCTGGATTTACTGCAGATTTCTGATGGCCACAACTACTTCTGCAAACCTGCTCTTGTCATATTACATTTTACTGATGTAACTACCCTGGATCTATTTCAGCACAGAGCAATCTAATTACAAAGCCTTAAAAGAATGTTGATTTAGGACTGTATTTTCCTATCTGTGTGTAACTCCCAATAACATTGGCTGAAGATACAAGCATGACTTGGAAGAACATTTAATTTAAAATGACTAGTTCAAATCACTATAAAGCAACATCACTCATTTCATTGAAATCTACTAACTAGCTCTAAATTTAGATATTCTTCCTAACCCATTCTTTTCATATTATGAATAGGTAAGTATACCCGTTAGATTTTCAGGGATGCAAGAGGAAACTTAGGACTGAAAGTAAAGACAGTTTGCTCATTAGAGGGATTTTAAAAACTATTTTAAGGTACTGTTCCTGAAGTTATATACCAAGTACAGTTTCATCACACAAAGAAAGCAAGACAGCTTGTCAGATATCATAAATTTAATAAATGTTCTCAAACGTAAAGTGAATTTCACTCACTTTGCAGTGTGTTAATAAATGAAAAGTTTAGCTAAGATATAAAATAATACACACTGTACAAGCATGTATAGTGTATATATATATAAAAAATAATACACACTGTACTGTAATAGCTCAGGTTTTCAGTTTATACTCCTAGATCATATTACTTCCATTCTTTCAAACTTTGAAAACCTTTTAATCCAACACCTTAACTAACATAGTTCTCATAGTCAGTCAAGAATCATAGCCTAATAACAAAATTACTTTCATGTGACTACCAACTCTGTCTGATAATTATCCCGAGATTAAAAATATCTGTAGAGCTATTCAGCAACTGGTAATGAAGTCAGTTCCCTTGCTCCTCAAACCAGCAGCTTATAGCTGAATGAAAATCCCAGGACAGAAATATCTAAGTCAGGAGGGCTTGGTCTAGAACGTTGTTCCGCTTCCTCCCTTCAACTTCCATTACAAGAAGCCCCTCTTGCACTTTCTACAAGCTTTGCAACAGGAAAAGAAAATACTGCTTGACTGCCTTGTAACATTGAAGAGGCCCAAGAGATACTTCCCTAACACACCTTAACAGTTTGGTAGTTCAAGAACAAGGAAGTTACTCAGAACTATTTCAGCACGCAGGCTAAGTTCTTCTAATGACTGCCTGTAGCCACTTCTTTGAGGTTTTTGTGTGATCTACATGGCTTAATGCATATGTTACAATTTGTTCCTTATGGGAAGTCACAACTCTCTGTTTATGATATACTGAAATAGATGTCTCGGCCAAAGAGGGCAGAATATTGTACATCTACTCACCCATAAATTTATGCTTTTTTTTTTTCTTAGTTATCCAAATTCTGCCTTCAGCATTATCTATCTAAACACAAACGAATCCCTCAACTTCCAGCCCCTAACCCCAAGAAAAGGGGATTAATTTGCAAATTAAATTAATGATTAGAGAAGTTAATCTTACTAACAACTGAACTGCTGGAGAAAGAATACACTAAGAAGGAACACGATGATGCGCTGCCACGGGAAAATCAAAAGACTGCAGACAAGAAAGCATAGCTTACAGGAATAAAAAAAAAAAATTTAAGAGCACTCCTTAGTTCATTAAGAAATAGACTGGCCACATAACCAGCAGCAAAATAAATTTAAGGACTACCCTGAAATCATCATTAAATTATAAAGTTAATTTCATAGACAATTATAATGTCACAGACAATAGGGAACTCAATTACAGAATGACTTATCAGTTGCACCAAGGTGGTAAAAAAAAAAAAAAAAAAAAAAACTTTAAAATCTCTTTAAAATCCCAACAGAATGGATGAAACTTTTCTAAACATAGAACATTTATCGAAGTTTTCCAGTAGATGAAAGTAAGCCTTCAAAGACTCCATTTCCCAGAAAGTTAAGAAAATTATATAAAATTGTATTATGCATAAGTGAGAATAACTTAAACTAATTAAAACAAACACAATTATGTTTCAGCACCAAGTATTTTTAATTATCTAAAATTTAATATTAAAAAGTGCACATTATTTGATTAGCTGGTTAACATTAACTAATGTGTTCTCACAGAAGTTTATTTCAATGCTAATAGCAATTTTTTTAAAAAATACTTAACTTCTTTAAGCTCTGAAGTATCATGGTAACTTGAATACGTACAATTAAATCTAAAATATTACCCCTTAGTAATTTTTTTGTACACTCCTTCTACTGGAAAGGAACACAACACAAATACCTTCTGGAGTCGAAAGACTGAGGTGACAATCTTCCAGGCTTGATTCTTTGACCATCCTCATCCAACTCCAAGGAAATGCGATTTGATATCCTCACACCTCTCTGAGCTGGGGACTGCCTTTTAACTGCCATTTCTGAAATAACGTTGCTGAAATTAAAAACATGAATGTAAAAACTCAACAAATCAACAAAGCAAGGAAGTTTGTCACATGTATTAACCAGAAACTCTACTCTCCATTGTTTTCATAAGCCTCTATAGGACAGAATTACACATTCCTCACAAAATACACCCATTTTTAAGTCATCAAACATTCAAGTCTTACTTTTTAAATCACCTCAGTTGTTATATTGTATATAGATGAAATTAAAAGTGCTATTTTAGCCTACTAAATCTACAACGAATGCTTTCTTTGAAATTATTTAGTTTCCAACTAAAAGAAAAATTTCATGTATCTGCATACCAATATTCACAGAGTACGCTAGGTATGTTTTGCTCAAGTGAATGAGGAATTACTCTGGATACAAGGAATACGCTTAAATAGGGAGGTAAAAATCACCAGTTTTTTGGACAGGAACCAACACAGGGACAGAGCTGGGCTGCTGCAGACCAAAAGGAAGCTTGTCTTCACACATCAACTGACATCGGTCAATCACGCCACCCTAATAAGTAGGTCACCTTTCCTGATCCACTGCAATCTGTTGCATTGCATAATCATATTACAGCATTAACAGACCACATCTTCCTTCATAATTCTGTAGTCAAAGTCATACGTGAAGAACGAATGTTCTGATCTCTTCCGGCGCGGTTTGCAGCTCATTCGAACGCAAAGGGCAAAACACACCACCTTTCTGCCTCCGCCGATTAGTCCCCTTAACCGGTAAGTCTGTTGGTTGGTAAAGACCAAGCTGATAATTCTTCCTCGCAGCTATCCTCTCTTCCCAACTGCTTCCAGTAACACGCAGTCATCCAAAATTGCAGTGGTCAAGTTTTAAGAGAAAAATATGGTCTCAAAAAAAAAAAATAGGCCAAGTCAAAAATACTGCATATCCATTTTATGAAAATCTGAATGAAGTTCAAACTATGTTTTTGGTAGGTTAAGTCAAAAGAGATTCTATTAACAAGAACGAAATACTGGTGGAAATTTGTAAAAGCCAATTGCGACAGCAACACAGTAGGATTTTCTCTTTGGTCTTAGATGTGGTTTCGAATGGCAGAAGAAGAATAGCATAGCACTTCAAGTACCTACTCTGAAAGAAATGCATCTGAAAACAAGTTTTAAATCATTTCATTTTAATCTTAAATAAAAAACAATCTCAGATTAGTTTTGCATATCTCACACTAGAAATTACTCTATTAAGTGCCTACTGGCATTAGTCAGCTGGTGTTGGGCCAGAGACTTGACACACTTCTGAGTGTCACGGGGACATAATTCCTAAGGTCAGTCACACACAGCGCAGCCCAACTGCTTGGCTTGGCTGCGACCTACAAGGCTGGAGTGTTCCTGTGCTAAAGGGGGATCAGGCTTCCTCGGAAAAGCTCTTCTCACAGCCGACCTTGATTTATTTGTGGCTTTACACAGTAGGTCTGGACACACTCTGCTACCAAGCTCTCAGAACATGCAGTCAATGGTATCATTCTCACTGGAAGGTCCTAATGTCATCCCATCACTGGTATATGAACATTTCTGGCAGCAACATTCATCACTCCATCATTAAAAGTGACCCTGTATTAACTGAAAATAAAACTACAGATGTTTTAAATGCCTTTTGTAATGAAAAATATCAGATTACAAATTCATACGACAACCCCAGTGTACCTACAGTGGTTAGATATTACATGATATTACCTCATGTCACAACATGAGGTTAAAAAAATATGCTCCTAGATACTTCTGCTTTCCAGAGATGGGAAGAGGTAGAGCTTTTGTAACAAGCACAGATTCTCTCTCCTTCCTGATCACCAATCAATAATTATAACACTAAAAATGGAGACCTAAGAAGCTTTGGATATACTTTAGCCTAAGCTCTGAATTACTTTACTACTTCTTCACCCAAAACAGGAGCTGAAATTTCAACTTGTAGTGCTGCTGATTCTATTTTGGTATAGTGCTGTTGTAATTTCCACTGAGTGAAACTTCATCCCACACTGAGAAAAATAAATTCCTGTATCGTTAATATTTTCCCCTCCTGGTGAACGCGCTGTCCTCATGCTGTCTACAAAACAAGGTGATGAGACGCCTGCATACAACAGTGACCTCTGGAGGCCATGCCACAATCCTGGAAAAAAAATGAGTACGAACCAAAAGATCCAGACAATATACAATTTATTTCATACCCTCATAAATCTCAAGAGCAGTACCCCGATTTTTTGCAGTGGAGCTTCATATGGCTCTACTGGTTGTGAAGGTATCTCATTTTTAAATAGTTTTAAATGACAGAGGAATATATATTGGCTTTTAAAATGTGTCAGTATACTGAATGCAAAACCTTTATGGGAAAAAAAAGAAAAGTTAAACTGCCCGTATTCTCTTGTTGTCAAATAAAAATCAACACAAAATAATCATGTATGAATAAAAGTAATTGCTTTCTAATATATTAAAAGCATTTTAGTGCCTTCTGCTGGACTTCTTAAAATCAACAGTTTTAACACTGATCAGAAAGCCGAAAGTACCACATTAATCTCAGAGTCTAACTGTGAAAGGTTACTATTAACCAAGTTTTCAGTCATGAAAATCAGCAGGAGTTGCCGGTCTTTCTACAAAACTCATCCATTGATAAAGTTTCAAACTGTTACCTAACTATTAAGGAAGAAAACAGAACTTTTACTGTTTAATATCTTCATCAATGACATAGACAGTGGGGTCAAGTGCACCCTCAGCAAATTTGCAGACGACACCAAGCTGAGTGCTGCGGTTGACAGGCCTGAGGGACAGGATGCCATCCAGAGGGACCTGGACAAGCTCAAGAAGTGGGCCTGCGTGAACCTCATGAGGTTCAACAAGGCCAAGTGCAAGGTCCTGCACCTGTCAGGGCAACCCCTGGTATCAATACAGGCTGGGGGAAGAAGGGATTGAGAGCAGCCCTGCCAAGAAGGACTTGGGGGTGCTGGTGCATGAAGAGCTGGACATGAGCCAGCAATGTGCGCTTGCAGCCCAGAAAGCCAACTGGCTTCATAAAAAGAAGCATGGCCAGCAGGTTGAAGGAGGTGATTCTGCCCCTCTACTCTGCTCTGGTGAGATCCCACCTGCAGTACTGCATCCAGCTCTGGAGCCCTCAGCACAGGACAGACATGGACCTGCTGGAGCCAAAGGGGTCCAGACGAGGGCAACGAAAATGATCAGAGGGATGGAACACCTCTCCTGTGAGGAAAGGCTGAGAGACTTAGGGTTATTCAGCCTGGAGAAGAGAAGCCTTCGGGGAGACCTTATTGCGGCCTTTCACTTAAAGGGGGCTTACAGGAAAGATGGCGGCAACTTTTTAGTAGGGCCTTGTTGCAATAGGACAAGGGGTAATGGTCTTAAACTAAAAGAGGGTAGATTTAGACTAGATATAAGGAAGAAATGTTTTACAACGAGGGTGGTGAAACACTGGCACAGGTTGCCCAGAGAGGTGGTAGATGCCCCATCCCTGGAAACATTCAAGGTGAGGTTGGACGGGGCTCTGAGCAACCTGATCTAGTTGAAGATGTCCCTGCTCACTGCAGGAGGGTTGGACTAGCTGACCTTTAAAGGTCCCTTCCAACCCGAACTATTCTATGATTCTATGATTCTTTTCAGCATATAATACAAAACATCACTTATATTTCCAGGTAGAAGCAAGTTAGTTCACAAAGCTGCCTCAGGGAGTAGAAATTGCCAAATCAAATCAGAGCAAGCCAGCTACGACACTCCTAGCCAACCAAAAAGACTGGTTTTGCTTGAGGAAAATGCATTTTTCTAACCATAGTGATTCATCCACAAGCATGTTATAAAATATTGTAATAGCACATCTTAACCCATCGACCAACTATATAGAGGCACTATACAGTTGCAAGGACTTCAGCTTTTAACTTTCTGAAGAATTTAAACTCTCTTTGAACAGAAAAAAGTCTTTTTGCTTAGAGTACAACTTCCTTAGATTCCTTCCTTCTTCCATAGCAGCCACAGCTGGGTAAGCATTTCAGGGAAAGTGCAATGGGTGGTGAGGAGAGCAAGCCCTCATTGCCAGTAGGCAGACCAACCACATTTAGAGAAGAGTACATATACCTTAAGGAATAGATGCAGGCCCATATGAGGTTAGCCACTGCACGTATTAGCTCAGCCAGTATCAGTATAGTCCTCCAACATCTTACTAGGAACTGAAGTAGGTTCCAATTACATTTAAGTTGGCTACCCACAGCCGAAGCCATTATTAAGAGATTTGTGTGCTCTGCTTGTCTAAAAACCCCAGTACAGAGATGGAAAAACCTCACTGGTAATCAGTAGTTTAATGAACATATTCTTTATATAAAATATTCCTTATTTATTCTCCTTATATTAGTAAGTGTCTCCTAGGTTTTTGGTAATACTGCACACAAAAACAAGATCAATGCAGAAACACATCGATTTTACATAAAACAGCCAGACCTCTAACCTTTAAAGCTATTCATTTTGGCTCCAAAGGCCTATGGAGCCTAAGCTTCTGTCAAGTTCTTGAGATCTCCTATATTCAGGCTGAGAGCATGAAAACAGAGCGCGCACACAGCCTTTGGAGATGCTTGCGTGTACTACCTAAAACCATACTTCCTCCTCAAATAGCACAGACTTCACACATTTGGAGAGAATTTCACTCTGCTCTCCACAACTGCCATTAGCACTCTTGGTAGAGAGAATCATGAATACAGGCTAAAAGGGAAACTTGCAGAGTTTTTCCCTTTTTCCCTTCACAACCTCTGAAGAACATGCATTTTGTTTAACAAAGTTATTCACTGAGCATTGTGCTTCCTGATCTATTTGCAACCATCTAACTTGATCTATTTGCAAGCACCTGTCACGTTCTTCCCTAGTTTTCACTCACGTAAAGGGCTGACATCAGCCACAAACATCATTAGTTTGTTGGCTACTCTGCAGTTCGTTGATAAACATACAAAGCAGATCCTTTACTGATTCCTAGAGCAACCTACAAATAATAATTCATGGGTCAAACTTAAATCCTGGTTTGGGACAAATTCATTTTCACAGAATAAATTAAACTAAGATGATAAGCAGCCTGCAGTTCACACGGCAAACAGGCATAAACAGAGGTTTAACATTCCTATTTTGCTGAAGATCCAGTTTTCTATGTAGTTCACCATTTTACCTAGATTTAATGCCTTATTTTCTGAGTAGTTATCTGAATACTAGCTGGAAAAAAAAAAAAAACCAAGAGAAAAATCTGTCTTTAGCCATCACCCAAATAGAGCAGTATGCACAACTGTTTTAGTTTCCAAACAAATGTTTCTCATCTGTTTGAAAGCCACACTGGAAATGGAGTTAAGCCAAGAGATGAGTTTCTTGGGTTGACTGGAAAGTTTTGAAAGGAAGGGTGGAGCTATAAATAGAGCTGCTCTAGTTCAGTTCTGCAGAGCTGTCATGAAAATTCACCAGTCCAGACAGAACGTCTGAAACATTTACAAATCCATCCATTGTATGAGAATTTTGGAAGCCTGAAGGAAAAAAAAAAAAAACCACCCCAAACCTGTTACTTTGCTAGCCTGTCCAAGAAAGTAATGATCCTGGGCAGGAAAACAATTCCATTTCTGCAAAACCATTTTAGAATGAGGATGGCAAAATTTAGGGAGTTTGGTATAACCAGACCAATGGTGTTCCCATTATTCATTAATTCCAAGTATAACCTGTCCAAACGTATCTTTTCAGGCCATCTTTCCAACACAGAACCCAGTCACCTTCAAGATGACATTGCAAAAATCAGAATTTCAAACATTACTGAGAAAATCATTCAATATACACACCGTATGTTAACAGTTCCCCCCTTTTTCTGTTTATCTGTGACTTCTTCGTGTCGTCTTAGTTGTGCAAGTAGTTCTGATTCTGCCTGTTTCTTGTTGAATGGTAGCGAAGATGCGACTGCAGAAGCAGCCTCCACCAGTTCTGGATTTAAAGGCTTGCCTCTGTAAGAGACACAACAGATATGGAAAAGGGAAAAAATAAAAGCCTTAATATATTTAAATTGTCATTTCTGTACTGTCATTTTATGTCTTGATAACTCAGAAGTTACAGTTACACATCATCACAAATGGGGGTGCAAGTGGCCAGAGGGAAGGCTAGGTTTGCCCTATGTTGCACTAATTATCAGCTGCTAAATGACACTGACAAGCTGTTGTACTCAAGTGGCCAAAGACCACACGCAGCACAGACCTGCAAGACTATAAAGGCGATGTGGTGGGGAGCTATTCGCAAGTCTCAACAATCATGATGCCATGCTTAATTTTGGGTTTGGCTTTTTTTTCCCCTTTTTCCTCAGCTTTGTTGTATTTTATCTGAAAAATTTTTTCCCCCTCCTATTAAAATAATTTCCCACAGGCAGCTGCTAGTGCTACCTTTCAAGAGTCTCAGTGCAGAAAAGGTAACATATTGTAGAAAGCACACAACATCTTTTATCCAGATTCTCCCCTGGGACTTACTGCAATCCACATCTACACTACATTCCCTTACAAGACTCTTTTCCATACTTGGAAATGGCATTTGGTGCTTTATTTTGTCCTAGATAATGAAAAAAAAAATTTGGAAAAAAGGGAGAAAACAGGCTAAGAAAAGTTTGTTATACTTTACCGCTGGGCGTCTCCTGTAGTTTTCTGAAGCATACTACCTTCACTGTCCGGGCCTTCCAGCTTGTCTGTGGCTTGCTTTTTGACCTCACGTGTTTTTAACTGTTGGAGTTTCTTCCTGTAGCTCACTTCCACTTTCATATTACCAATAATGTCTAACAACTTCTGCTTTGGTGTTTCTGCTCTACCCTCCTGACTCTTTGATGCCACTTCAGTGGTGCTGTCTTTGGAAGCGGTAGATTCATCTTTCTCAGTAGAAAGCACGCTGCTTGTGCTGAAGAGTTTCTGTATTTTGCTAGATGATATACAAAGATTAAAAAAAAACAATAAATAAATACATAAAAAATCAGAAGTTACAAATAGGGTCCAAGGCTGAATTTTGTAAGCCTACCAAAAAAACCAAAAAACAAAAACAACAACAAAAAAAAACCAGTTACAACTGTCTAGGCCTAACTGAGTGCAAACTGAGTATGTTAAGTGCATGTCAAACATGTACCTTTTGAGTTTTGAGAAGGGCTAGGGCACTACTTAAAACTCTGGATTATTTATGGCTTCTTCATCACAAAAATCAGGTAAACAACTTTATTTCCGCCACAAATAAATTGTGTTTAATCTAGGAACTTAAAACTTTTAAAGTATCCCTGCATTAGGTAGCAGACTGAGAGTTTGAATCTACTCGTATCTGATACTTAAATTTATTAGTACTATAGAAAACTCACTGTAACTCTTAAAATGAGGCAACAAAGAGATCACTCCTAGCTGCCTGAAAACAGATTGTACACAGACATTTAGCTTCACATTGTTTTACACTTGTGGCACTACTATGGATCACATTCCCCTACCCTATGTCCTGCAATATAGCAGCCAAGCATTTGTGCAGCCTTATGAGGAAATGGATCCTGCTGCAAGATAACCCAGTAACAAACAAAAAAGTTATTTTGGTTATTCTTCTATCTGGAACAGCTCCTCTACCTAGTTTACCACATTACTGCAAAGAAACTAAAACTGGCACAGTGCAGGCGAGGATGTGAAGCCAGGGACAGCTGGGAGCTGCATAGGATATCGCTACAACACAGACACAACTGCATTCGCTGGAGAAACTATCATAAAATTCAAAGAACTGTTCTCTTTAACATTATAAAATGAAATGTTTATATCTCTAAATTCACAACTTTTTTTTTTTTTAAAAACACCTTCAAGTTACTAAAATAAAGAAAAAAACCTTACAATCAAATATTTACTTTGGTTCCAAAAAAAACCACTTCAACAAATCTGAAAGAATTTTGAAGTACTTTCCCCCCTCACACACCTCTCTTTGGCTAAAAAAGAAAATTCTGCTAGTATCAGCAGGCACCACATTATTACTTCAGTCGCTCTACACTTAATAAATTGGCAGCATTAAATTGTCAGCGTTAAACCCTAAATTTCGATGTTGAAAAGCAACAGGAAAATTTAAGGAAAGCTTCAGAACAACATTACTGAGAAGACGGCAGAAGTCCTGCTGTTTTACACAGAGCTATTCTCCACAGATTTTTTTTCAAACACATTTTTCATTAATTCAGGCTGCATGCTCCTTAAAACTATTTATCCATTCAGAGATCTTTTGCTGATCTCTGCTCAGAAAAATACAGCAAGACTGCAAGCCTTAAACATTTAAAACCAGTAGTACATTGCAGTTCACATTACTGTATTTCACCTACCATCAGGTTTATCTTCTGCTCGGGAGCCTAGCCTTAGAAAGCAAACACTGCTACAAAAGAAAACAAGCTGCTTTATACATAAGACTACCACAGTATCGGAGCTTGTTCAAAAGTATTGCAGAGCTTTGAAACAAAAAAAAAAAGCACAACTGACTTTTCATTAAAAGCAGCTAAAATCTTTTAATAAAAATAAAAACGAACTTCCAAATACTGCTTTTAGCCGGTGCTTTGGGCAGGTACCTCTGCCAACAAGCAGCACCGCTCTGCTGATACACACGCTATAAAATTATGCTCAGGTCACACATGGGTATCGTTCACGTCACCCAAAGATGAGAAGGACGACAAGAAAAGCAAGACGAGAAACACAACCCAACCACTCCCCTCTGCTTGACTTCACTTTCCCAACGACTTCTACCCACCGGTGCCAACAGCACACAGCCCCAGCAGGACAGGCGGACTCGGGCTTGGCCTGCTCGCTGCCCGAGCGGGTTTAAACCCCGAGGCGCCGGGGAACGGGGCA